CACGGCTCAGGCTGCCACCTTCCTGCCGAAGCTCGTCTTCGTGTTATATGTAGCAGATAACACCGGCATAATAATCCAGAAGAAAATGGGAAAACACACATACACATCTGTAGATTTGGTGGAGGTTTGGAGAGGGGGAAGGGTTGAAAGCACATGCGCAAATTTTAAATGTTATGCCAAGAAAAGCGAAAATCAACGAAGCAGTTGAGGAAAAAGAGAGTAATCACCACGCAAAAGTGGCCACGAGACCCCGAGGAAACGGGAGACAGAAATACAAGCGTTAAATGCGGGCAATGTGTGAATAAACCTGAACGACATTGCTGCCATAAGATGATAAGATAATCCCCAAAATCAAACAGTACATTTGTACAAACATATATGTACATGGAAAGCTTAAGCAAAAAGCTCCAACACATTAACCCCAAAAGCTGTACAAAAGAGGATCAATAAACGGAAAAATATTTGCCCATAGTTGTGAAAATTCACGAACGAAAGAAAAGGGAAAGGCAAAGGCAGAGGCAAAGTCAAATAGAAGAAAAAATAAAAGAAACGATAAATATATAATATATGTATGTATAAAGCTAAAAATCTTAAAACAACACAAAAACTGAAGAGCAGCATTTAATCAATGAAAATCAATGAAAATAAAGGGAAATAAAGGAAAATAGAGTTAAATGCCGGCTACTGAATTTTGCAACACTTGCAAATGGATGGGAAATGCAGCGAAAAAACAGCGAAAGAATATCAAATGAAAATATTACGAAATATCCAAAAAATAAAGAGAGACCAAGAGCCAGAGAGGCACAAATTTCGATGCGCCACAAAACCATCGGCGGCTTTAATGTACCGTCCCCGTCCGTGTACCCCTACCTATCCGCCTCACACCCGAAACCCCCGGTAACTGACACGAATGGGAGTATAAAAGGTAAATAATGTGACCTTTGAGAGCATCAAATGCGTTAGGTAATGGCAGGGGCCTAAAAACAGAAATGAAACCAGAAACTGAATCAGAAAAGAAGCGAAGAGAGCCAGAGGGAGAGAGGGAGAGAGAAAAAGAAAGAGAGGCAGAGGCAGAGGCAGAGACAGAGTCAGAGTCAGCGGGTAGGCAAGCGATGAGTTCGAATCTTTTCATGTGGTGGGTAAGGGGGGGTGTAGTATGGCCAAACAGTCTATACAACATGGCTACAACAGCAACAACTCGTTGAAATATGAATGCATTAAGTAGTGTATAAGGAGGAGAAAGTACTTGAGAAACTGGCAGCACACAATTGCCACCATAAGCATGTGCCCTCTCTGTTTTATAGATAACTTTTCTCTCAGTGTGCTGCTATTAGTTGGACATAAAAGTTCATACACATAAATAGGTTCGCGCTTGCCTCCCACTCGCACCACTCTCTTTCTTTTCGGAGGGGGGCAAAATTTATAGAGGTTTATCCCGTAATACTCGCTCACCGTTGTAGCATAGCCGATGGGCAATTGGGCATTGGAGTAATCAAAAGGGAACAGAAAAGCGAATTATGCGAAGAGTTTGCTAGCAGCTTTGCATCTTCCTTTGTCCCGATGCCCCCCGCATCAAGCGTGACTTTCCAGGATTTGTTTTTATTGCCTTGACGCCTGCGCACTCAGTGTACGCTGCCGATGCCTAGATCTCTCCTCTCTGCTCCTGTGGTTCTGTCTGTTCCGTTTGCTTTTCGAGGTTATAAATTATTTATTGTTTTCTGATACAACATGATTTCGAATTCGAAATGGAGTTGGTTTTGCGACTGCTTCTGCTTGCTGTTGCTGTTGCTGTTGCTGTTGGCCTGGGCCTGGGCACTTGTGGGTGGGATGCGTGGGGGGTCGGCCGCATGTGTTACTCGTGTTTTGCGCTACTTCATTAAGTCGCCCAGGGCAGGTCATAAAATTTGATATGACTCTGTCTCTCTTGTGCTCTCTCTCTCTCTCGCTCTCTTCCCTCTCTCTCCCCTGGATACCCTGCCACCCAGGCAACCATCCTGGCAAGTATAATTTCCGCACATTTTCACGTTTTGCACATTTCCGTTGCATACTTTTGTACGCTCCGGCATTTTGATGACGCTTTTGGCCAGGATCTCTCTCTTCATCGCTGCCACCCCACCTCTCTCTCGCGCTCTCTCTCTCTCTCCATCCATTTGTATGGCAAAATATTTTATACAAATTTGTTGGTTGCTAGAACTACAGTTCTCGTGGCTGCTGTTGTTGTTGTTGATTGCGGATTGTTGCTGGCATTTAAACGAGTTACGGCAGAACATGCAAAATGGCCAACATTTTTGAATTCATTGAACTTTTGTCCTGTCCTGTACTGCCAGTACTGTGTTTCACTGCAACTGCAGCCAGAAGAAGTATTCAGAATGCTCCACCTAGAGCATTCCACTCACTGTAGATTTCTGATCTAAATTATATTTCCTTTCCACAGAAAGACTTTGCCTTGCTGATCTCCCCGCATATTTTTATTGAAAATTCTTTCCTTCCATCTGCCCCTTAGTCTTGTTTCTTGTTGACAGTCTCTCTCACTCGTTTCCTTCTCCCATCTTTCTTGTCATATTCTAGTGTACATTTTACGCTTTGCCTGTTCATTTCATGTACTTAAGTGTTTACCACTTCCACTTCCACTTCCACTTCCACTTCCAATTCCACTTCCACCCCATTCCATGCCAACCCAAGCTTCTCCTCCTTCCATTATTATTATTATTGGGCAAAGCAAAGGGGTAAAGGAGAGAGAAATGGAGCACCTCACTCGTTGAATCCGAAGCTGCTTTTGGCTTTTTGCAACCCTCTCGCTGGCCGTAGTCCCTGCCGCTGTTTTGGGGGCTTTTTAATGAGTCCTATGCAAATATATCGTTAGACTTGAGTGTGTATACTGTGTGTTGTCTTGGGATGTGGTGCCTTGTACCTGATAAGCAGCTGAAGATGTGGCAAAGAATTTATTCCCCTTTGATTATTGCCACCAGCAGCAGCAGCAGCAGCAGCAGGACAGCCAAAATGCCTCAAAGGAACCAAAACTGAAACCCGATGCCAATATTCTCGGGCTTAAGGAGACGGCACCACCATATCCAGTGGACAGTAGAAATAAAAATATATTATAATAAACCCACCCACCGACCGGCCCCAGAACAAATTTCAATCTCAATCGTCAACAAGTTTTTCCTGTGTCCCTAGCGGCTCGCTCCCTCCATCTCCATATCTCCATCAACTTCTTCTTTTGGCCACTCTCAACTTGCTTCAACTATTTTTATATTCACAGAGGTTTGACGCTGTTGGGGATAAATTGTGGCAGGGTAGGGGGGGTACTGGGTACTGCTGAGGGTTAATGCATGAACAAAATTCATGGCAAAACTTGAGCTGAAATGTGCTCGGAATGGGCAGGCTTGGCTCGGACCGTTGCCGTTGCCGTTGCCGTGGCCGAAAAACGAAAAACCGAACCCGCTTTCCAGAGCCGTATCCTTTTTCGCTAAAAACCAAACAGAGCTCCCTTTACCCCCCTCACTCCTCACTCCTCACTCACTCACTTCTCTTCTCTCTTTTCGCTTTTCGTACTTTTTTGGCTGCTTGCTCTGATGAAAACTACTCAACGACATGGAACTTAACTTAAAAAGTTTTGCACTTTCATTTCGTAAATGAAATGTAGTTGTTGTACCCGTTGCTGTTGCTGTTGCTTTTGCTGCTGGGAAATAGCAGGAAAACAATTTGGAGCGGATAATGAATATGGGTTAGGTTCTGCCTCAGTGTGTGCGTGTGTGAGTGCATGTGGCTAGGGAATATTGCTTTTGTGAGAGCACTCCTTTAGTCTAGGCTCCTGCTGCTCTTCTACATGACAGAGGTGGCAGCCGCTTATGTGGGGGCTGCCTGCCCATGGAGGAGAGACAAAATAAATGATTATAATGTTCGGTACTTAGGATTGTACTCTGGTTTTAAAACGAGTGTGAATGAAATAATAATTTGATGTATTATTTGATTTTTTATCATTCCTATGATTCTTTTCGCACAGATCGAATTCACTGCATTCATTATTGCATGTTAGCTAATGGCATTTCGAGCCATGTCGAGCTTCTAAAGTTATCCTTGTGCTCTGAATGTTGAAGATGATCTTTGCACACACCAGAACCTAGCTCGACCACCTTCAGGAATTTCCAGAGAAAAAGCAGAAGCAGCAACAGCGATTCAATTCATTCTAATTCTTCTGTTTTCCTCTGCCCGTGGCTCACGTAATGAAAGTGGTGCACATAACGGACATTGAGGAGGAACAAGCGAGAGCATTTGACAATAACGAGACGGGCCACAGCACACGCCACTCGTTTCCGAACGGACGAAACGAAGCCGAATGCCGAGAGCTGCCAGGCAATTTTTTGAACAGATGTGTGTGGTAATATTAATGGACAGAGATAAAGTTGTGCTTGGAGCAAGGGGCTAAGGAGGGTTAAATGTTCAATGGCAGCGTGAGAGCCCAGTCAGAGTGAGAGAGAAAACATACTGAGTATGAAAGAGAGCGAGTGAGTGGGAGGGAGGGAGGTTGGTAGGATGTCGAAATGTTTGCGTGGAGAGGCTTGTTTGCCCAACATGATTTATGATCCCCAGCCACAGTGAAAACTGAACTGAGTGAAAATTCCACATCAAGAGCGAGTGCAAGGGGGAGGACGAGTTGAGTGAGTGTGCGCTGCGATTTACTCAAAGAGAGCAAAGGACCAACCCCCGGCACAAGCTTTTCTCTTTCTCGCTGTTCGTGAGTGTGTGTAAGTGTCTCGTTTCGGGACTTTGTGGAAAAGCCGTTGACTTCGTTAGGCTGATAATTCAAATATTCATGGAAATTTACATACGTGTCAATGGTATTAAGTGGCGTTATATTACGGGATGCCATGGGACTGGGAATGGACTGCAATCTGGGCCTTGCGGCAGAGTCCGTCAGAGTGCCAATTTACCCTGGGATACCCCTTTTAGCTTAAACGTAATGCTAGAAACACTTGATGTCTGAGATCTCGACTCACCTGAATGCCGTGCGCTCCTCCACCCTGCTGGCTGATGTGCAGCTGCTGCGTCTGCTTCATCTGCAGCGTTGTTGTAGTCGGTTGCTGCTGCTGCGCCGCATTGCCACCAGGACCCGCATTGGGATTGTTCTGCTGCCCTCCATTGCCGCCACGCTGCTGCTGTTGCTGCTGGGGACCACCCTGTGGGCCGCCACCCGGCTGCTGCTGCTGCTGTTGCTGTTGCTGCTGGGGCAGATTGCCGGGCTGCTGGTTGCCATTGGGACCGCCACGAGGCGGACAGTTGAGGAAGTTGGCAGCGGCGGCGGCGGCGGCGGCTGCCGCATTTGCATTTTGGTTGCTGAAAGGCGAGTACTGCTGTTGCTGCTGCAATTGCTGCTGCTGTTGTTGTGGCACCTGTTGCTGCTGCTGTTGCTGCTTGCTGAAGTTTGGCAGGCCACCCATTTTGGGGCCATTCTGGTTGGGATGCTGCTGTTGCTGCTGCTGCTGCTGCTGGTGATGTTGCTGTTGCTGCTGTTGCATGGCCTGCTGCTGCTGCAGACGCTTGAGATCGAAATCGTTTTGAGAGGAATAAAAGAGCTCCTGCTTGATGTCTAGGAAGTTTTGTTGGACATTCATGCCAGGACCAGGACCGGCCCCTGGCCCTGGACCCTTCTGGTGGAACTGCGGCGGCAGATGCTGCTGCTGGGGCTGCTGCTGCGGTGCATTGGGACCCAGGCCAAAGTCGTTGGGGAAGCCGCCCCCATAGTCGTTGTAGCGTCCGGGCTGACCCTGGCCAGGACCACCCATCATCTGGCCATGCTGCTGCTGCTGGGCCTGCTGCTGCTGCTGCTGTTGTTGCTGTTGCTGCTGTGCCTGCTGCTGCTGCTGCTGCTGCGGTTGCATGCCATGCGGAGGACGGGGAAAGCCGCCCATGCCGCCCATAGCGCTCTTGTGCTGATGCTGCTCGGCCATTTGCTTGAGAGTCTGGGCGGCCAGCGGATGCTCCGACATAAGATTTCCGCCACCAGAGGCTTGTCCGCCTCCTGCACCAACCACGCCACCGTTGGGGCCATTAGGGAAGCCGCCGCCGCCACCACCACCAGCGCCGCGCATCTTCATGGCCTGATTATCCATGCCCATTCCGACGCCGAAGCCACCAAAGCCATGGCCCAGACCGCCCTCGGACTTCACATTCAGGCTGTTGATAAGGTCCTGGGCATTCGGGGGCTCCACCTTGATGCCGTCCTCCGTCTTGATGTCCAGCAGCGGCTTCTCGTCGAAGCCGTCGAGGAAGCTGGGATTGAAGTCCTGCAAATTGTTGATGAGATCCTTAAAGGTGTCGTTGTTCTCCGAGTTGTCATCGCCCAGGAGATCGGGAAAGCCGGGAAACTGCCCATTGCCCCCGTCCTTGTCCAACGAGCCTAGGTCGGGGAAGTCGTGGTCGGGTTCCCGCTTGCACTCCACTAAATTGGCCAAATTGCCAAGGGCCGACTTCTGTTGCGCGGACATCATGTTGGGTCCCATGCCCATTCCGACGCCAACTCCAAGGCCACCGAGTCCACCGCCGCCGGGTCCCTGGGCCATTCCGCCAGGACCCCCGCCACGCCCATTATTGCCGAGGCCACCCAGTCCGCTGCCTTGTTGGTGCTGGTGTTGATGTTGCTGCTGCTGCTGTTGTTGCTGGTGTTGATGTTGCTGCGGATGATGTTGTTGCTGCTGCTGCTGATCGCTTCCGTTGTTGTTGCCACCACCGCCGCTGTTGCCGCCGCCTCCGTTTCCACCACCACCGCCGCCACCGCCCACTCCGGGTTCGCTTTTCACCGAGGTGTTGGTCAAGGCCTTCACTGTGACATTCGTGCTGATCTGCTGCGGCTGCGAATTGGCCGCAGAGGTCGTGAACTCCAGCTGCTGGACGATTTCCACTGAGAATTTTGTTAGATTTTCAGAGCCGTTGTTGTTGTTGCTGTTGCCACTGTTGCCGGTGTTGTTGCTGCCGCTGTTGCCGTTGTTGTTCCCATTGTTGTTGGCATTCGAGCCGTTGTTGTTGTTGCTGTTGCTATTGTTGTTGTTGTTGTTGGGCAACTTATGCGGCGGCTCAAAGTTCTCGGCGCCATTATCAACATCCTCCGCTGGTCGTTTAAGGAATTTTTGTTGCTATAAATGAAACGAATGGGCAAAAAGAAAGAAATAGAAAATTGATTAGTTGGTTGATAGTCGTTGATGATCGTTACAAATTAAATAATCAATAAATAAACTCTAATTTAAAGTCAGTTTTGAGCTTCTGGAATATATCCCAAGTTTCACCCTTAAACTAATGGTAGGTTTATATTGTTTAAATGAATTCAATGACACAACTCTTACCCAAATATTCATAGATAGTTCGTTTATAGTTTTTTCGTTGGGTTTAGGCAAAGTTCAGTTCAGAGGCGGTATTTGGACACACTTCGTTGTAGATTCAGATTGGAGTTTGAGTTTTAGGACGCGTATTCAAAAGATTCGATCCGATTGTTTCGTGGAGAGATTTTAGGCTTTAGCCTGACGACAGTGTGAGCAATGTCGTACAGTGTTAGTGTTGAGCAAGGGCGTCGACAGTGTTGGATAGCAATGTCGACTGCTTTGCATTTTGTTGCGTTTGCTTCGTAGGCGCATTTGGCTTTTGTTTTATTTTGATTTTTTTTGTTCTCTTTTGTTCGTTTTTGGTTTGTTTTTTTTACAGAGTTTTGTTTTTTATTCTTTTGAGTGTAATTTGATTTTCTCAGCTGCAGCACACACACACACACAATAAAGAAATTATTCATATACGCCCGTTTGCATCAACGTACATATGTACATACATATGTATGTATGTATTTATGTTTGTATGTTCTTTCGAGAGCCACAATTCGATTAACACTCTGGACAAAAGCGCAACAACAATAGCAGTAACAGCAACAACAACAGCAACAACAGCAGTGGCAGAAGCACCGCTGACTTGGCAAAAGTAATCAAAAGAAATTCACTCCCAGAGACGTGCACAAATTATTGAAAGTCTACAACAAAAGCGACAGCGACAGCAACAGCGACATTTTGTTGAAAATCGCAAGTGCAGAGCCCGCGCCAATAACTTAATCCACCCAAGTCCACTATACCGACTAAGTGATACCCATCATGCACCTTGAAAACGTAATTACATTTGTTTTATTACAGAAACATAAACGAGGAAAACTACCACTGAAAATATCTTACAAAAAATATGCAAACGAAATTATATTTCCATCTTCATAGATTATTCGATGCAACCTTTTCTTGTGAGTAGAGGGTGCAGGGTATAAACATAACAGAGAGGCCTGGCGAATGAGAGAGAGAGCAGCAGCAACAGCAATAACATAAAAGCCAAAGACACTTCTAATCAGTGGCGTAGCAGAGGCGGTCGGTCGGTCGGTTGCCGTAGCGTAACTCTGGCTCCCGACAGCAAAGCTCTCTGAGAGCAAAAGAGAACAAGAGCACACGCAACTGTGTGTGCATTGTGAATGGATGTATGGGTGTACATGTGCATCTGTGTCTTCCCGCTGAAGCAGGCGCCGACACATTTTGTTGTTGCTTCTGTTCTGTTTTCTGTTTTATTTGTGCGCCGTTCGCTTGTTGCCTGCGTTCTGCCAGCGTGCTGCCAGCAGATAGATCCAGGGTAAATCGAACATAAGGTAAGGCAGAGAAGACTGCACTTGATTGTACTCAAGGAGAGCGCTACACTCTGCCCCACCCTTCACTTTCATATGCACCGAGAGCGGAACAAGATAAGGGTTGGGTGATGCAGGAGGCCAAAGCCTGGGGAAAGCAACACTAAAAAACAATCACATTTAAATCAGAATGGGTTTTCTTTTCAGTTGTATATTTTCTTTCCCCCACCCGACCGGAGCGTGACGAGGAGCGCGCGCGGCTTTTTCTGCTGTTATTCTGCTTCTAATTAATGCAAAATGTATACAAAATAACCACGAATAGACGCAGCAACATCCAAATGTGAGTGAGGGGTGGAGAATCCACAAGAAAAAGAAATAGAAGCAACAGCAACTGAAGCTCATGCTGAGGACTCTAATGCAAAGAAAGTTTCAAAATGCATTGAATAGCGAATGCATCCACTAGTCTCGTTTCTGGGCCGGGGTGCACTACTGTACATGTGTTCATGAATGCACTCACAGATGTACAGAGAGCAAAAACGTCATGCAAAATCATTGCACGAGTGTAATAAATACACCAAAAATATCATCAAATAGTATGTCAAATGCTAAACGAACAGGGTTCTCTTCCAAGTGAATAACAAAAGCGGGTCCCATTCATTATGCATTCACATTCATGAACGCACACACACACACACACACAGCATTCAACTCTAATAAGTTTCTGACGCTTTGCAACACTCGGACTGCAGTTCAAACCGTGTCCGGTTAGCTCAATGCCCACTAGACTGTCATGATACCCTACCTTCGATACACGCGCCAACAGTTTTCCCATTCGCCAAAGCTCATTATGAATAAATGACGTTTCATAAATTTGCTTCTCTGCCTCTTCAGCGCCCGCCCATCTATCATGCACTCTCTCTCTCTCTCTCTCTCACTCTTCCTCTCTCGAATATCTAGTAGCCGCATCTCTTTCTTGCTAGGTGTCTTTTTTTTGTGTATCTCTGTTCTGGCATCTAGCGATGGAAACGTGACACAAAGAATGCAAACCTGCGTTGACCACAGTGGTTAAGGCACAATATGACAGAGATAGAGAAAGAATCACAGAGGGGTAGGAGAGAGAGGAAGAGATGTAACATCTCAGAGCGGAATGTTCGTTCAAGCAGCTCGCACAATTTACAAACTTAAAAGTAATTTAGTTTTTTACGACTCCACTGCGGTAATAAAAATGCTTTACCCCCACCCCACCAACCCACCAATCTAGTGCCATCTCTTTCACCTATAACTTAGCTGTACCCTTTACCCTCCCCCCACCCAAACACCATTTCCCTTCTCTGACCCTCCTACTGCTTCACACTGCACATTTACATTTATCGATGTCCCCATCTCCTTCGTCGAGCTCTTCTCTTTTCAGTACCTTTTTAGTGGTGCTGTTGGGTGGCTAGGGGCTGGTCTGATAACTTTGTTGGTGGGTCGGTCTTGTCTCATGTCTAGTGTATGTCTGACCGAAATCTAGGTGGGAACGAAAGGGTAGTGGGGGCCGTGTGGGAGTTCTAGAGCTGTGAAGAGATGAACCTGCTCAGAGCGACGGAAATCAAGACAAGTGGAAATCTTTCGTTTAGGAAAGGAAAGGAGATGAGCATCTCACTGATTGCAATGGCAGCTTCATCGATGGTCATCGATGCATACGAGTACGAATATCGATTGTTAGCCAATTCTTTTCACTTCTTCAAGTAATTGGTCTTACATCACATTGTTTGCCACGTAAATCTTTTGTTTCTTCCTTCCCAATAATTTCACGTGTGACTTTTTTCATGTTCTACTTGGTTCGGTAAGTTAATGAGAAAGTCAAATATTTCACAGCTTATGGCTCGTTTCTCTATCTCTCAGTTGGTGTACCCATCTCTCTCTCTCTCTCTCTCGTTCTATCCCGCTCTGTTTGCCTCTTTCTTTAATAATATATATGTATTTTTTCTGTTTGCTTTAAGCGCAAATGAAATAAAGCAACAGAAATTATGCCGCGAACCTTGACACATTAAAAATAAAGCAACAACAAAAGGCAAAGCGCGTGAGCAAGAAGACGTCGCCGCTGCTTCCTCCGCTCCTCATCACTCCCTCTCCCTCTATCTCTCTCTCTCTGTATCTGTCTCTTTCCCTCAGACAGTCAGTGCATTTGTTTGCGTGTAAAAATAAAATGTGGAAAAGCTTCTTTCCACATTGACGACGCTCCACCGTTCATTTCATTTCAGTTTCTGGTTTCTGTTTTTTGTTTTTTTTTCCTCTTCACGATGCCAATGCACAAACAAAAGCGAGCGTCCAACGCGTCGTATGATTAATGCGAATTAGTGGCCAAAGCGAGAGTCCCAACACTCAACAGTCTCTCGCACACTCCACCGACGGCGAGCACTCGCCACAAAAAAAGAGCACCACCCAAAACGGAAATCGTCTCGTTCCGTTTCGTCTACCCAGCAACAGAGCAACAACGAAAGAAAAACATCAAATGATTCGTGGAAAGCCTTCGAATCGGATACGTGATGATGGCCTGTTCATTACAGTGGGTGCTGAGAAAGGGGCGGCCAGGTACTGTACAAGCCGTGAATAAATATCACTGAAGATCTGCGTACACACAATAAGCAATAAGAATCGAGAACTGATTTCGATAACAGATTCTAATCGATAGCTGCTGGATAACTTTTTGCAACCTGATAAGGGTAGATCGATAAAAGCCTGATGAGCGTCTGCAGAAATCAATAACAGCAGTAGATTTCCTCTAAAATCATCCAACTCATCCATTTATTAAAAAAATTAATGAGGAAGGTAGCTTTAAACGAGCACTGAAGTGTCAGACACCCCCATTTCAATCCGTGATGCCGTTTCAGTTTCTGTTCGACAATCATCAATTAATTCCTGGCTGTTTCTAAACCCGTTCCTTTCCTGTGAAACCACTCTACATATTGCCCCGCCCCCACATGGCGTATGCGTAGTGTTTTGGCCTTGTTTAGCTTAGCGCTGTACTCCCTACATCCACGCCGTCCCATCACATCGCTAACATTCCCTCGTTAGCTCGCATTACATTTTCCATCCTATTTATTTGCTGTGTAATTTATTAACTCAAAAATGCCCACAAGAGTGGGAGAAATATGGAAGAAAATTATAAATCATTATTCAACTCATTTAATGTGAAATTATGTTGCCCGAAAATTAATTAAACAACAGCAGCAACAGTAACAGCAACAATTGCAATAAAAGTAAGATTAATGTAAGCCAACACATTGAAGGCGGAGTAGAGAGCGGCAGAGTGCCAGGCAACGCAGCAACAATTTCCGCATTGCCAAAAGGCTAACAGGAGGTTGTATTAAATGGAAGGTAAGACATTCCAAGGAATTATTCGGCTAAACTAATAAAGGAAGACAAAGAGACAGAGAGAGAGAACGAGACTCTGTCTTGTCTGCTGGTCAATCTTTGGGCTAAGCCAGATTTTCCAATTGAGTTTCTGTCTGC